ATCAAACTTCATCAATGTTACTGAGTCACTTTAAGATAATATTTGAATAAAAGGTAAAGTCAATCAGCTTAACGCTCACATTTACAATAAACTCTCTTATTCATTATCAAAAATCGTACATCTATTCAAAAGGTTATATTAATGTCTAAGTTAGGAGTGATGGACATTTACCATTTTGTTTTGTTTTGTTATAGTTTAATTAATTGTGAATGAAAAAATACAAAATTGTGTTCATACTTAAAGATACTTTGTCCCTTTTGCCAATATCAAATTCTGTAGAACTTTGCATATGTCAATCATGTTTTGGTCCAATCTGTGAAATTTAAACGGCTGAGCAGCTTGTGCATGCATTTGTTACATCCCGCATCGATTGTTGTAACTCTTTACTCTATGGCATCCCTATGTCTCAAGTTAAGCGGCTCCAGGTTGTTCAGAATGCTGCTGCCCGTCTCGTGACATATACACGCAAGTTCGCCCACATCACTCCAGTCCTTAAATCCCTGCATTGGCTCCCTGTTGAGCATCGTCTCACCTACAAAATCCTTCTGATCACATACCGTGCCTTGAAGTTCTCCTCGCCACAGTACATCTCTTCTCTACTTAACTTTCGCAAGCCTGGTCGTTCTGGTCTGCGTTCTGCCAATACATCAACTCTGATCATCCCTAAGACCAGACGATCATGGGGAGATCGAGCATTTGCCTCAGCAGCTCCCCGATTGTGGAACAGTCTCCCTAACACACTTAAGGACTGTAAATCAGTAGATAGTTTCAAGGCCAGCCTGAAAACTTATCTAATGGCCAACTTTAACTAATATCATCTTCTTCCTTTTTTATGTGTAATGTGTAATGTATTGTAAGTAAAATTGTATTTAAGTATATTATGTAGCTCGATCATTGTAAGCGCCTTGAGCACCCTCTGGGTGGATATGTCGCGCTATAAAAATGTCTTTATTATTATTATTATTATTAAACGTTAACGGTGTCCTAGTATAAAAATTATGCAAGGAAACCCGCTTATTTTTAGACTTCACTGTCAGACACTATTCAGTGACTGACTGACATATTTTTTCTTTGGTATTAAATAACATACATGAAATGAGCTGTAAAGGGTACATGAGCATTTGTCTACATCAATTACCCACTTCTTGTAATGGCCAAAATCAAACTTATTGAATCTTTGCGCCGCATAAAACGTACGACCGTTCTGTACAATGGTCTGAAAATCAGACCATTACATACTGGCTCTATAGCTCTTACGTCGACTCGACAACTAGTCGTTTTTTCCCACTTAAAGACATTTTCAAGCCTCCTTTTTTTAGGGAAGTTCTAAATTAGTATTATCTTTCAAATGCTGTTGGAATTTAACCTTTTCATTTTCTTTGGAAGGCAATTGGGACTTATAGTACCTTTAACAGGTTTCTCTCCTGTAAGTGTTATACCAGGGACGTGATAGAGAAGGACTGGAATCAAGCCGCTCTCCTTTGACCCCATGCTCCAAGCCACCGAAAAGTTATGCCCTAATCTGCAACTGTTGACCAGGTGGTGAAATAAAAGAGCGCATGAAATTTCAGGATTTAGAATTCCTACATTAGGATATGGTATCACAGCAACTGTACGTTTGCTGTCCCTTTTAATGATTTCTCATCCGTTGTTGAATGTTTAAAGAGTAGAATAAGCGAACACAAACTTGTGTAATTTCATCCTTTTTTTAACTTCAAAATTACAAAAAGCACGCGAAAACACGCATTAGCAAACTTAATGTTATTGAAGATTGTAAATCATGGATTAAATAACGGGACATTAAAACATGCACAAATTAGCGCATTATCCTAAAATATTGAATTATTGTCTGGATGTAATTTTTTCTTTTACCAACTCTGGCACACGGTTTATAGAAGGACGGAGTGTTAAATTTGAAAATTTGTTTGATGCACTATTCCCAAAACAATCCCCATTTAAAGTTTTTGATTTACACTGAAATTTTGCCGGTAATTTAATATTTTGTAATAAATGTAAAACCAGTAAAACCATTACAGCTTCCTGATGGAACTTTAAAGCCAAGTGGAATGTTACACATCCCAATGTTATGCTTTAGAACTCATAAATGCGTTTGAATAAATTACGAGAGTTTCGCCTCCTTTCTTTCACCACCCTGGTTATACAGTGCCTATAATTAGATACTTTTCAATGAAAAATCCCTTGCATTTTGGACATTCTCCAGTAAGAATTTTCAAATGATAGGTAACATTGACTAATTACGCATATTTTTGAATGAAGATGCCACTGCTTGAATCTTTAGTAAACAAGATTGTTTAACTTTGCGATTGTCTAGGCACGGCCCCGGCCCCCCCACTCAGTGTTATTTAGGGTACGCATATGCGTGTTCCAACCGACCCCCCCTTTTCAGCAAAAGTCCGGTGTGTAAAGTCAATACGGCTCGACCTTTTTCTTTTGTATACGAGCCTTTTTCCGGACCCCCCCTTTTCAGCAAAAGTCCGGTGTGTAAAGTCAATACGGCTCGACCTTTTTCTTTTGTTACGAAAAGGACATTTTGGCAACACGCATGCGGTCATTTTGAAACCTGATCGGGGCCGGGGGCACGGCAGAATCAAGTATCAGTTACACGCTCACGAGGCATTACACAGATCTGGAAAATGGACATTTCGAAACCGCGAGGAAATGAAATGTGAGGTAGACGAAATGGCCGAGAAGACAACCATTGTTGAGATCCAGGGACAAATCGTTGACCTAGTTAATTGAAACAAAAGAAATAATGTGATCTTGCATAATGTGCCAGCAGGCGTGGAAGGAGACACGGTCGACTGCACAGCGCTCATTCATAGGAATCTCCAACCCCAATGGCTCAAATTCACAAAGGAAGGTTTGTCGACAAACCAGGTTTTCGTATTGTCGACAAACCTCCTTTGTGAATTCGGGCCAATGAGAGTGATGTCACCAAAACAGGCGACAGAAAACACTTGCAGTGCGAATGCCACAATTAAGCCAACAAAAGAAGAATTCACACTATGAACATGACGGACAAAGAAAGAGGACAAAATATACAGTTCCTCATTCTACCTTCAACATTTGCTGTGGTAGACAAAGGAACATCCCTCACTGCTATTATGTAAAAATGTGTAGAACAGGTGTCACATGCATATTCACCTGTATAGCAGTGAAGGGATGTTCTTTTGTCTACCACAGCAATTGTTGAGGGTAGAATGAGGAACTGTACATTTTGTCCTATTTCTTTGTCCGTCATGTTCATAGTGTCAGGACCGATTCATGTAAAATTTCTTTACTTTCGTGATCAGGAAGTTGGTCTAGGTAATTCAGCACAATTTTTTGTTAAGATGCTGGGACATGTCTTTATCTATAATCTGTGTCGGTGTGCAATAAGTACACATGCTCATCATCAAGAGCTTACCAAAAAAAAGGTTAAGAGTTGGAAAAGGTTTATTTAGAGACTTGAGAAAGGCCACCTAGCGTTCATACCGTGGTCTATCAAATTAAAAAACTTAATATCTCAAAGTCATCTTATACCAATGATATTCCTTTGAGGCATGGTCGTGAGCTCGCTGTTGAATTATCTGTACCATAATCTATCATTTTTTAATTCCTGTCTACAACCGGGTATGTTTCCAGAGTATTGGAAAATCGGTAATATCATTCCGATTCCTAAAGTAAACCCATGCAATTCTCTAGATCAATTACGTCCCATCTCTGTAACTTGCAGTCTTTGCTTGTATCTTTCAGGAGTTTCTTGTGGAGTTGATTAGATGTGATATTGCCAATCATGCATGTAGACAACCGCCAGTTTGGCAGTGTCAGAGTTGATTGTATTTTGTGTGAAACTGACAAATCGGGAAAGATATTGCATCAATTTGCACAATATATGCCAAAGCACTTGATGTATATCGATCATACCGTTTTAGTAACAAAGATGATATAAATGGGTGTCAATCAAACTATCATTTCCGTTGTGTGCGACTTCCTGAGTAACAGATCCCAAGCTCAGTCCGCCTTAATTGGTGGATTACCTCTCAAGTTCAATACATAACATGTGGTGTCCCACAAGGCACCACTGAGCTTGGCCCAATCCTATTTCTGATCATGATCAATGCATGCTGCGGATTTCACCCAAAATAGATGGAAATATGTTGACAACCTTACCCTAGCAGAATTTAGAAGACATATAGCAATCACAATTGCAAGATCAGGTCTCCCAGCTAACCCAGTGGTTAGACTAGCACAAAGTGCACCCATACCGTCAAAATGTATACATATGCTTCATGCGAAACCCTCCACCTTTCCCTGAAATCTAGATCGATGGTACTGTTCTTAAGGAAGTCACACATCTGTCAGTGTTAGGATTTATTTTGAAATGTACTAAGTGGGGTCAACAAATTGATCATATTGTTGAAAAAGCTTCGAGACGATTGTTTATGTTGTGTATCTTGAAGAAACACAATGCATCTTTAAGTGATCTAGTTACGATTTACGGCTTTACGCATCCCATATATCCGTCCCATTCTGGAGTATGCCTCATCTGTCTGGTCTTCTTCAATCACTTGTCAACAGTCTCAAAAACTTGAAAGAGTTAATTCACGGTTTCACCTCTCTCACCTGCTTCATGATGAAAGGCTAAATAGTCTTAATCTACCGTCCCTTCAAGCAAGAAGAATTGAGCTTGATCAGAAATTTGCCCACTCGCTACTGACGTCCCGGCCAACACAAAAACTTTTAACCTGTACTTCCACTATCTAAACTTTCCTTGCCCAATTTTCGCCCCCTCCGTAATAATCATGATTTGGTCATTTCTAGGTACAGGGCTAGCCAGTATCAAAATTCTGATGTTCCTTCTCTTGTTCGTACACTTAATAATCCTTGACTCTCTCTCTCTCTCTCTCTCTCTCCCTTCTCTCTCTTTCTCGTTCTCTCTCCCTCTTTGCACCACTCTCCAGAATCATTCTAATTGAAACATTCAAAATTTGGTATACATACGTTTATTTTAATATTGGCATTGTTTAACTGCTTTTTAAAGTCGATTCCCATTGGTAAAATATATATTTCTTTGTGGTGTAAACTTCCAATCGAAAGATATCAAACATCCATTATTAAATATGTTTTGGACACATGTTTTCTCAGCTTGGTCGTACAATACGTACTAAAACTGTTAGATTTAAAAAAAATTGTATTTCAACCATTGTGGAATAATACATTAGTAAAAATAGATAAAAAGATAATCTTTATAAAAAAAAATAGGTTGAGGCTAGGATACTTTATGTGAAAGGTCTTCTGAGTAAAAATGGTAGCTTTATATCTTTCACCAAGTTTTGTTGAAGGCACAACGTGAGATTGATACATCTTTTAGATTAATGTGCTATGTATCTGCTATTTCTGCAAGTTGGAAAAGAATTCTGAAAAAATACATTTGAAGAATCAGAGGTAGTTTTAGATATGAAAATTAATAACATTATGGTACAAAAAAACAGATTAAAAAAACAGTTATGAAAATGGAAACTGGATCTGACTTCACAAGCAAAAATTCCTGTACCGCTTGAAATTACATTAAAGTGGCAAAATCGTTTAACAAAGCCACTGACAACTTTAGATTACAGGTTACAAGAATTTCAGTTCAAATTCCTCCATCAAAGGATTTCTACAAATTAATATTTGCACCTTGTTGGTATAAAAAGTACACCAATATGCAATTCCTGTCAAACAGATATGCAAACGTTAATTTATTTGTTCTATACGTGTCCTGTTGTAAAAAAATTCTGGAAAGATATCAGTAACTGAGCTGCAATTACTATAATTGCAGCTCAGTGAAATCAAAATCACAGATATATGTTTTGGAGTCAAGATTAGTAACAAAACGATTAACACTTTTGTTTATGTATGATCAACAATTCATTTTTCAAAATAAATGCAAAGAAAATAACTTAAGATTTATACAGTTCAAGTTGGAAATTTATTATTTAGAAAAAGTGGAAAGCGTTAATGCCACAAGACAAGGACAAATGCTGAACATACGTTGAAATGGCAAAACAAGTATGTAAAATTGTTATCAAAGTTATCTTCAATGTATTCTGTACGCTAAATTTCATAATGTACCTCTCATTATTATGTAAATGTCCTTTTTTATGTATTCAGAATTGAAGCAATAAACTTAGAACTATATTATTTTTAAAGGATCACTAATACGACAAAATCCTTTTATTACATTTAAAACATTTATGTGGAATTTTTACTCTGTGTATTATCAGGCAATTAGCAATATCATGCACTGTACAAACGAAGAAATCCCTTTCAGAACAAAGTAAACAATTAAATGGCTTTTCTCCAATATGTATTCTTAGATAACTAGTAGGATTACTGTTCAAAGAAAATCTCTTAATATAATCCTAACATTTATAGGGGTTATGTGTGTTCTTATATGCCTTGTGAGCTCACTTTTATAAGAAAATTCCTATCTTATTAGGAACACTTGACGTGTTTCTCTCCTGTATGCTTCTACGGTGGCTAGTAACATCCCATTCATAAAAAAAAATGTCTTTAAAAAAAAAAAATCTCTTATTACAATCACAACATTTATAAGGTTTTTCTCTAGTGTGTGTGTCCTATAAACATGACAGGTAAGATGACCTGTATCACAAACGGATCAATTAAAGAGTTTCCCACTGTAAGTTATCTTAGCTGGCTAATAACATCCAATTAATAAAAAAATCTCATACCGTATTACAATCGGAACATTTTCACGTTTTATCTAGTAGATGTATGTGTCCTAATATGACGATTAATATCACCTTGTTTAGAAAAACTGTTATCGTAATGGTAACATCAATAAGGCTTTTCTCCAATGTGTGTTGTTAAATGTCTAATAAGGGAACTACTTTGAGAAAAACCCTTATCACACTGGGGACATTGAAAAGGTTTTTCTCCACTGTGTGTTCTTAAATGGCTAATAAGGGAACTTCTTCGAGAAAAACCCTTATCACACTGGGAACATTGAAAAGGTTTTTCTCCACTGTGTGTTCTTGAATGTCTCGTAAGGGTACCTCTTTGAGAAAAAACCTTATCACAATGGGAACATTGAAAAGTTTTTTCTCCACTGTGTGTTCTTAAATGTCTTGTAAGGTTATTTCTTTGAGAAAAACCCTCATCATACTGGGAACACTTGAAAGGCTTCTCTCCTGTATGTCTTCTATTGTGGCTAGTAAGATTAGCCTGTTGAGCAAATGTCTTTACACAATGGGAACATTTATAAGGCTTTTCTCCACTGTGTGTTCTTAAATGCCTAATAAGGGTAGCTGTTTGAGCAAAACCTGTATCACACTGAGAACACATAAATGGTTTCTCTCCTGTATGTGTTCTAAGGTGACGAGTAAGATTCTTCTTTTCAGAAAATCCTTTATCACAGTTAGGACATTGATAGGGCTTTTCTCCACTGTGTGTTCTTAAATGGTTAGTCAGATTACTTTGGGAAGTAAAAACCTTATCACACTGGGAACATGTGAAGGATTTCTCTCCTGTATATGTTCTAAGGTGGCTTGTAAGCTCTTGCCTTTGAGAAAATGTCTTACAACAATGGGAACATTGAAAAGGCTTTTCTTCTGTATGCGTCCTTAGATGCTTTCCTAGATTACTTTGGCAAGGAAAACCCTTGTAATTCTGGGAAAAGTTGAAAGGTTTCTCTTGAGTTTGTGTTCGAAGGTGGCTAGTAAGCTCATAGTCGACCTGGTGTGTTTTCTGATGTAGTATCAGGGTGTTCTCATCTGTAAATGTTTTACTGCAATGTAAACACAGATGGGTCTTCTCTCCACTGCATGCTGTTATATGTGGGTGTATATTGTCTTGTCCATTGTCCAACTCTAGGGAGGAAAAGAAAGTAATTACATCCCTATTGAAGAGAAGGTCGAGCTTTGGTAAGTGTCAAAATCAAAATAACTGTAGAGTAAAGAAATATCACCAGGCATATCCAGTCTGTCTAGATGCAGACTATCACGAAATTGTTAAATCCTTCAAAGCAGTCAACTTCGCACACATCAATTTTGACAGGATACATTGAAATCTTGGATATGTGTGTAAGTCAAAGAAAATCTGACTTTCATGGGACCAAGCGAAATCTAATTAGATGATCTTTGATTGCTATGTAAGTCAAGGTAAATTAGACCATATCTGGTCCCAAACAGAACCTGTGACCTTGAAATAGTTCAGTTGAAATTATAGTTTTTATCCAATGCCTCAGTTTAAACTGTTGTGCAGACATCCAGAAAATAAGAACGTTATCTATTGTTCATGTACACAGTACATATCTGCAGGCTCCTGTTAAAACTTGGGACAATAAATAAGAACAAATTAAAAGAACAGAAACATACAGTGATTAATTCCAATATACCAAGTCTTTGCTTACAAAAGTGACATGTACACTTTATTTGTTATGATTTATTTGTAACTTGTGTTGATTTTTGATACTTCACCCGCTATGCACACATACATTTACTTTTTACAGGCTTTCTACAAGAATATATTGCTATAAATAAGGAGGAAGAGAACTGCAAAAGTTGTTCAATATAATGATTTAACGGATGTTGAATACGGAATAGTAACATTATCATTAGTAACAGCAATCTTATAAAACATTAGCTACCATTCTTGTGTAAACTGTTGATAGATATATTTGTTGGATCTTCGAGATAATCTACTACGGTCCCATATTTGAACTTCAATGTAATAAGGAGGAAGAGAACTGCAAAATCTGTTTAATATAATGAATTAATGGATGTTGAATACAGAACAGTAACACTTATCAATCTTATAAAACATTAGCTACCATTCTTGTGCAAACTGTTGATAGATATTTTTGGATCTTCGAGATAATCTACCACGTTCCCATACTTAAACTTCAATGTAATAAGGAGAAAGAGAACTGCGAAATCTGTTTATTAAATGAATTAATGGGTGCTGAATACGGAATGGTAACATTTATGAATCAATAATATTGAATTTAGCTACCATTCTTGTGCAAACTGTTGATAGATATTGTTGGATCTTCGAGATAATCTACTACGGTCCCATACTTGATGTAACGTTTAGTGAACTGCGTACATGGATTGATACTAATACCGGTGTGATAATCGTGATTGTGGTGACGTAGTAATTAGTGTCGACACTAGGGCTAGGCTAGCTAGTAGTACTACAATGCCTCCCAAACAGACAGCATAAGCTATCAAGGAGCTCCTAGACAGTGAGGGCTCCAAGGAGGCACTCTCAAACAATGTGAGTAGCAAATTTGATGAAATCTCAAATATGCTTGATGAAATTAACCAGAAACGTGATCATCATGATCAATGCTTCATAACTATTGAAAGTCTCAGAAGGTCAGATATTAAAATAACTGAAGTTTATGACGAACTCGCAACAAAATTTCAGTACCTTCACACCTCATCAGAGAAGGCAAAATCAACCTTGATGGATGTCGAGATGAAGGTGAATGAGAAGGAGACAGCCATCAAACATCCAAGTGAACTGATAACAGCCTCAAAAAAATTGCAAACCTGAAACGCCAAGTTTATAATCTTCGGTCTCATAGAGAAGTGTGCAGAAAACACCAAATTGAATACTCTAGTTTGTGAAGAAGGTCAGCGAATTCAAGTTGATCTTCAGGAGCAAGATATAGACCGTATAGCCATCGAGTTGGCGACCCTTCTTCAGAAACACGTAAAGGTGATCGTTCAATTATAGTTGAGCTTAAATCATATTGCGAGAGACAATTAAGAGTTGTTACAAAATTACAAAAGCCACAGTAATAATCGGGAGCGCCAGGAGTGTCAAGTCTGACAGATACATGTATGAGCGCTATACAAGAACCCAATGTTAATGAACTCAGGCACAACTATCCAAGAAGACCTAATTGAAAAAAAACACGGAATTGCTTCAAGAAGCAAACAGACTCTCAAAAAAGGCAGAGTTTAGGGCGCATGGTCTTCCGATGGAAGAAATTTTGTATTGGTCCCCGTAAAAGCCAGCATCCCAAACAGGAAACTCATCAACTGCAAAGAAGATTTTGACAAAACTTGCATCAGAACCTTGATTTGTACTAAAACAATGTAACTTAATTATCTTACTTGCAATCTAAGAGTAATGTGCAGCACCTGAATTGACATATCTCTTAGAGGACATTTCAGTTTTATTTTTAAGGAATATTGAGACTTTTTTCTTGTTTTCTTTCGTCCTTAAAGATACTATGTCCCTTTTGCAGCCAACCTCAAATTCTGTAGAACTTTGCAGGAATTATGAATATGTCATGTATGTCCTATCTGTGAAATTTAAACGTTAGCAGTGTCCTGATATTCAAATTATGCAAGGAAACCAGTTTACTTGCTAGACTTCACTGTCAGACACTATTGAGTGACTGACTGGCTTAAATTAAACTGATTGAATCTTTGCGCAGCGTAAAACGTAAGACCATTCGGTACAATGGTCTGAAAATCAAGACTATTACTTATTGGCTCTATAGCTCCTACGTCGATTTGACAACTAATAGTCGTTATTTTCCCACTTAAAGACATTTTCAAGCCCCACCTTTTTTAGGGAAGTTCTAAAGTAGAATTATCTTTCAAATGCCGTTGGAATTCACCTTTTCATTTTTTTGGCCTGCAAATGGGACATAGTACCTTTAAAAGAAATTTTCTTACATGTCTTTGAAATTATATTTCCTGTATGTCTATATGTAATGAATGGATAATACCTGGTCATTTTGGAAATTCTCAAGAAAGTATTGCATCACCTTTAACAGTAGATGGCAACTTTGATGGAGTGTGTGAAACAGATACATATTATATTACTCCCCTGACAATTTAAATAATATGATCGTTAATATTCAAAATTCTAGAAATATTTCACTTTTTCATATGCATATTGCTCCGATTGTCTCATTTTCGTTCGCTGGATCACTGCAGCACAATTAACATAGCTCATTCGACGTCACTCCCAAACTAGCCAATCAGCTGTCAATGACGTCATATTGAATGCGGCGGCAAATATATTTTGTGAAATTATCGAAAAATTGCAAACTAGTTCTATTTTTGGATGGAAACGCAGCCATTGTTATCTTGACATTCATTGAAGTCATCAGAATAGCGTAAGTTATACGTCTCAGATGATTCAAGAGGTCTATTTTGTAGATAAATTTTCAATTTCTTAGAATGTTCCACTGTGTTGCAGGGTACCTGGTGTATGCCATTGGGTGTGATGTGTTCGCGCGCAATGGCGCGAATTATACATTCTTCTTCTTCTTTGCTATAATTAGTACAGGCCACCGCGCCGCCTGGTGTATTCTCGTACTGAAGTAGGTGCTGTGCAGGTGTCCATGTAGTGTCTCAATAAAAGGTCTACAATGAACTATGTGCAGTTAAAAAGACATCTGTAGCTTAACATTCCTTTCCTTCTCAATACAATAACTTTCACCTATATACCGCCTCGCGGAATCGTGGCGTCTCGCCACTTCCATAACGTAATCACTAAAAGGATCCGCATATACATTTTCCTGCTATACGTTGTACCGCAGGAAAATACCAATCTCCCTGGTATACCTTACAGTACGTCCAAACGATAAATGTGTGCCTTAAAGCTTATCTGCCGTAGTTTATAGGAGGGATTAGACTGCCCTGCAAGGTCACTAGACAGGTGGTTATCTCATCAACTCAGCTCTCAGTTAACATAAGAAAAAGAGGATCATGGGGGAGCAATGGTCACCGGTTAGGCATTGTTTGTTATATAGAGGGCGCAAGTAGCTGCAAGTAGTGCAGTGGGCCTTTAAACGAAGCAGGCGACAATCGGCGTAGCAGACGACACTTGATAGTCATTTTGTATGTGAGATTGCTTTGCTAAATATAAACTAACATTTCTTTTAGATATCTTTAAACCATCATTGATATTCAATAATTCATGAGTGAGTAAAATAAAATATACCAAACTATATAATGATATGAAATACTTGGTGCCAATTAGGGGAGTTTGACGTGATGATCGATTGCACCCCTCTGTTAATAATCGAATAGTCCATGGTGTGTCATGAATATTCATGTTTTTGCTTACCTTGGGAAAATGTTTGCTTTGACTAAATGGAAAAATTACGGTGGGGGCGGGGGGGGGGGGGGTAGATGAAATGGACATAATGAACCAAGCAGAAGTGATTTATGATAATTCATGCTTTTTATTCTTCGTGTGCTTGACCTATAATCTTACAATCGCTTGGCAGACTGAGTCCAAAGTTCGACTTGTTTCACATGTATGGCGAGCTTGCAACATATTTTGAAAAATTACGGTGGGTGGACTTTCAAAAGTCAATGAGACATGAGGGCTCCAATGAAAGGGCTTGTGATAACGGACGTCGGGGTGGATGTGCTTTTCGTTTAAACAAAAAATGAATTTTTAACGATTTTTTTTGTGTAAACGTCCATACGCTAACATGTTAGGCTGCTGACTCTGACGATAGGGGGCGTTGTGAAATGAGACTAAACGGAGCGATATGAATTGGAGAAGCAATAAGAACCATGGAGCTTTATTAGTGTAACTTCAGTAATTGAAAGTTGAATTTGATGTAATTGCTTTAAGTGAAACATCACTACAGATGACCTAAATTCCTTGGATTTCAGGGTAAGAGGACACTTTTTTTTTTTTTTTTGGTCTCGAAATTTGAAAATTTGACATTTTGCTCCGTAGGGGGGGGGGGGTAAAGTCACTTTTTTAGGGCAACCATTGGCATAACTTCTTTTTTTTTTTTAATTAAAAAAAAAAAAAAAAACGAAAAAGGGGGGGGGGGGTTTGCTAAAAAATACACACATAGAAAAACCAAAAGGGGGATTTTAACCCCCCAACCCCCCCCCCCCTTGAGTACGCGTCTGGTTGGCAAGATGTCGTTATGAGTAAACTTAAAGACACCTTGCCAACCAATATTCTCATAATGTTATACAACTCACTAATCTTGCCCTACATATCCTGTAACATTATATTTGGTATTGGTAAACAACATTTACTTAATCGTACTAATATTTTCCTCCTACAAAAAAGAGCAGTTTGCATAATTTGCCACAAGCCATTTTTAAGTCAAAGCAGACCTCTATTCTTAAAACTGAATATTCTCCCAATATCATTATTACATGATTTTCAACTCTGTGATTTATATATTCATATTATCATAACCTATACCAAAAGTTTTTTGTAATATATTTAAAAGCAATAACGATATTCATAGATATAATACCAGGACTTCAGTAGACACTCTTGTAATATATTGCCATTCTTCGTTTTCAAAGAGTATCTTTTTATGCCAAGGACCCACTATTTGGAACAAACTACCCCCTGAACTTAAACCTATACCAGAAATTTTTTGTAATATATTTAAAAGCAATAACGATATTAATAGATATAATACCAGGACTTCAGTAGACACTCTTGTAATATATTGCCATTCTTCGTTTTCAAAGAGTATCTTTTTATGCCAAGGACCCACTATTTGGAACAAACTACCCCCTAAACTTAAACAAAGTAAATCTTTAAACAATTTAACCCTAGTAAGGCCGGGGGGGGGGTGGGGGCATCATGGCATGACAATGTACAACTACATGACCAAAGTTTGGTGGTAATCCATCAATTGCTTCTTGAGATAACTTGATCACGAGAACGGGACGTACGTACGGACGGGCGGACAACCAGAAAACATGATGCCTCCAGCTACTTTGTAGCGGAGGCAGAATAATGGAAACTGGATCTGACTTCACTATAACAAATTCCTGTACCACTTGAAATTACAATATAGTGGCAAATCGTTTCACAGTGCCACTTCTGTCAACTTTAGATTCCAGATTACGAGAATTTCAGTTCAAATTCCTCCATCAAAGAATTTCTACAAATGAATATTTGCACCATACTGGTATAACAAATACACCAATATGCAATTTTGCTCAAACAAATGTTCATTCATTTATTCTTTACGAGTCCTCACTATGAACATGACGGACAAAGAAAGCGGACAAAATATACAGTTCCTCAGGTACACAAAGGAACATCCCTTCGCTGCTATTATGTAAAAATGTGTAGAACAGGTGTCACATGCATATTCACCTTTTTACATAATAGCAGTGAAGGGATGTTCCTTTGTCTACTTGAGGAACTGTATATTTTGTCCGCTTTCTTTGTCTGTCATGTTCATAGTGCCTAGTGTTGTTAAAACATTCTGGAAAGATATGGGTAATTTGCTCCGTGAATTCAAATTATTTAGTTTTCCATTTTCACTCACAGATATATGTTTTGGAGTTGAGACTAGTAACAAAATAATTAACACTTTTGCTTTTGTTATGTATGGTTAACACTTTATTTTTCAAAATAAATGCAAAGAAAATAACTTAAGATTTATACAGCTCAAGTTCGAAATGATTTATTTAGAAAAAGTGGAAAGGGTTATTGCCATAAACAAGGACAAATGCTGAACATACATTGAAATGGCAAAACAAGTATGTAAAATTGTTATCAATGTTATCTTCAATGTATTCTGTAAGCTATATTTCATAATGTACCACTCCTTATTATGTAAATGTCCTTCACAATCTGATTTTTACGTATTCAGATTTGAAGCAATAAACTTACAATTACATATTTTTTTGAAGATCACTTAAACGACAAAATCCCTTTATTATATTTAAGACATTTATATGGCATTTCTACTCCGTGTGTTATCAGGCAATTAGAAAGATCATGACTGTATGAACAATAACAATCCCTTTTAGAACAAAGTGAACATTAAATGGCTTTTCTCCAGTATGTATTCTCAGATAACCAGTGAGATTAGTGTTAAAAGAAAATCTCTTAATACAAATGTGTTCTTATATGCCTTGTGAGCACTTGAAGTGTTTCTCTCCTGTATGGTCCTACGGTGGCTAGAAACATCCCTTTTATAAAAATAAAAAAAATCTTATTACAATCACAACATTTATAAGGTTTTTCTCTAGTGTGTGTGTCCTATAAACATGACAGGTAAGATGACCTCGTTCAGAAACACCTGTATCACAAAAGGAACAATTAAAGGGTTTCCCCCTGAATCTTATCTAAGCTAGCTAATAACATCCTTCTTATAAGAAAATCTGATATTACAATTGGGACATTTTTATATTTTTTTTCTAGTACACAATGGAAACATCAATGAGGCTTTTCTCACTGTGTGTTCTTAAATGTCTCGTAAGGTGACTTCTTTGAGAAAAACCCTTATCACACTGGGAACACTTGAAAGGCTTCTCTCCTGTATGTCTTCTAAGGTGGCTAGTAAGAATAGTCTTTTGAGCAAATATCTTATCACAATGGGAACATTGATAAGGCTTTTCTCCACTGTGTGTTCTTAAATGTATAATAAGGGTACCTCTTTGAGCAAAACCTGTATCACACTGAGAACACTTAAATGGTTTCTCTCCTGTATGTGTTCTAAAATGTCTAATTAGGGTACTTCTTTCAGAAAAACCCTCATCACACTGAGAACACTTAAATGGTTTCTCTCCTGTATGTGTTCTAAGGTGACGTGTAAGATTCTTCTTTTCAGAAAATCCTTTATCACAATTAGGACATCGAAAAGGCTTTTCTCCACTATGTGTTCTTAAATGTCTCGTAAGTTGACTTCTTTCAGAAAAACCCTTCTCACACTGGGAACACTTGAAAGGCTTCTCTCCGGTATGTCTCCTAAGGTGGCTAGTAAGAATAGTCTTTTGAGCAAATGTCTTATCACAATGGGAACATTGATAAGGCTTTTCTCCACTGTGTGTTCTTAAATGTCTAATAAGGGTACCTCTTTCAGCAAAATCTCTATCACACTGAGAACACTTAAATGGTTTCTCTCCTGTATGTGTTCTAAGGTGACGAGTAAGATTCTTCTTTTCAGAAAATCCTTTATCACAATTAGGACATTGATAGGGCTTTTCTCCACTGTGTGTTCTTAAATGGGTAGTCATATTACTTCGGCAAGTAAAAATCTTATCACACTGGAAACACTTGTTGGGTTTCTCTCCTGTATGTGTTCTAAGATGTCTAATGAGAGTACTTCTTTCCGAAAAACCCTCATCACACTGAGAACACTTGAAGGCTTTCTCTCCTGTTTGTCTTATAAGGTGGCTAGTAAGATGAGTCTTTTGAGCAAATGTCTTATCACAATGGGAACATTGATCAGGCTTTTCTCCACTGTGTGTTCTTAAATGTCTAATACGGGAACTTCTTCGAGCAAATCCTGTATCACACTGAGAACACTTAAATGGTTTCTCTCCTGTATGTGTTCTAAGGTGACGAGTAAGATGATTCTTTTCAGAAAATCCTTTATCACAATTGGGACATCGGTAAGGCTTTTCTCCACTGTGTGTTTTTAAATGGGTAGTCAGATTACTTTGGCAAGTAAAAACCTTATCACACTGGGAACACTTGTTGGGTTTTTCTCCTCTATGTGTTCTAAGGTGGCTAGTAAGCTCATTCTTTTGAGAAAATGTCTTACAACAATGGGAACATTGAAAAGGCTTTTCACCTGTATGCGTCCTTAGATGCTTTCCTAGATTACTTTGGCAAGGAAAATCCTTGTCACACTGGGAAAAGTTGAAAGGTTTCTCTTGAGTTTGTGTTCGAAGGTGGCTAGTAAGCTCATAGTCGACCTGGTGTGTTTTCTGATGTAGTATAAGAGTGTTCTTATCTGTAAATGTCTTACTGCAATGTAAACACAGATGGGTCTTCTCTCCACTGCATGCTGTTATATATGGGTGTATATTGTCTTGTCCATTGTCCAACTCTAGGGAGGAAAAGAAAGAAATTACATCCCTATTGAAGAGAAGGTCGAACTCTGGTAAGTGTCAAAATTAAAATAACTGTAGAGTAAAGAAATATCACCAGGCGTATCCAGTCTGCTTAGATGCAGACTTTCACGAAATGGTTAAATCCTTCAATGCAGTCAACTTCGCACACATCAATTTTGACAGGATACATTGAAATCTTGGATATGTGTGTAAGTCAAAGAAAATTTGACTATCAGGGGACCAAGCAAAATGCATCTAATTAGATGATCTTTGATTTCTATGTAAGTCAAAGTAAATTAGACCATATCTGGTCCCAAACAGAACTCTGGAACTTGAAGTAGTTCAGTTGATATTATAGTTTTTATCCAATGCCTCAGTTTAACTGTTGTGCAGACATCCAGAAAATAAGAACGTTATCTATTTTCATGTACACAGTACATGACTGCAGGCTCCTGTTAAAACTTGGGACAATAAATAAGAACAAATTAAAAGAACAGAAACATACAGTGATTAATTCCAATATACCAAGTCTTTGCTTACGAAAGTGACATGTACACTTATTATGAGTTATTTGTAACTTGTGTTGATTTTTGATACTTCACCCGCTATAGGCACACATACAAGTACTTTCAACAGGCTTTCTACAAGAATATATTGCTAATAAGGAGGAGGAAGAGAACTGCAAAATCTGTTCAATATAATGAATTAATAGATATGTTGAATACGGAATAGTAACACTTAACAATCTTATAAAACATTAGCTACCATTCTTGTGCAAACTGTTGATAGATATTGTTGGATCTTCTAGATAATCTACTACGGTCCCATACTTGAACTTAAATGTAATAAGGAGGAAGAGACCTGCAAAATCTGTTTAATATAATGAATTAATAGGTGCTGAATAAAGAATGGATACTCTTATGAATCGATAATATTGAATTTAGCTACCATTCTTGTGCAAACTGTTGATAGATATTGTTGGATCTTCGAGATAATCTACCACGTTACCATACTTGAACTGCAATGTAATAAGGAGGAAGAGAACTGCAAAATCTGTTTATTAAATGAATTAATGGGTGCTGAATACGGTAACATTTATGAATGGATAATATAGAATTTAGCTACCATTCTTGTGCAAACTGTTGATAGATATTGTTGGATCTTCGAGATAATCTACTACGGTCCCATACTTGATGTAACGTTTAGTGAACTGCGTACATGGATTGATACTAATACCGGTGTGATAATCGTGATTGTGGTGATGTAGTAATTAGTGTCGACACTAGGGCTAGGCTAGCTAGTAGTACTACAATGCCTCCCGAACAGACAGCATAAGGTGTCAAGGAGCTCCTAGACAGTGAGGACTCCAAGGAGGCACTCTCAAACAATGTGAGTAGCAAATTAGATGAAATCTCAAATATGCTTGATGAAATTAACCAGAAACGTGATCATCATGATCAATGCTTCATAACTATTGAAAGTCTCAGAAGGTCAGATATTAAAATAACTGAAGTTTATGACGAACTCGCAACAAAATTTCAGTACCTTCACACCTCATCAGAGAAGGCAAAATCAACCTTGATGGATGTCGAGATGAAGGTGAATGAGAAGGAGACAGCCATCAAACATCTACGTGAACTAATAACAGCCTCAAAAAAATTGCAAACCTGAAACGCCAAGTTTATAATCTTCGGTCTCATAGAGAAGTGTGCAGAAAACATCAAATTGAATACTCTAGTTTGTGAAGAAGGTCAGCGAATTCAAGTTGATCTTCAGGAGCAAGATATAGACCGTATAGCCATCGAGTTGACGACCCTTCTTCAAAAACACGTAAAGGTGATCGTTCAATTATAGTTGAGCTTAAATCATATTGCGAGAGACAATTAAGAGTTGTTACAAAATTACAAAAGCCACAGTAATAATCGGGAGCGCCAGGAGTGTCAAGTCTGACAGATACATGTATGAGCGCTATACAAGAACCCAATGTTAAAGAACTCAGGCACAACTATCCAAGAAGACCTAATTGAAAAAAACACGGAATTGCTTCAAGAAGCATACAGACTCTCAAAAGGCAGAGTTTAGGGCGCATGGTCTTCCGATGGAAGAAATTTTGTATTGGTCCCCCTAAAAGCCAGCATCCCAAACAGGAAACTCATCAACTGCAAAGAAGATTTTGACAAAACTTGCATCAGAACCTTGATTTGTACTAAAACAATGTAACTTAATTATCTTACTTGCAATCTAAGAATAATGTGCAGCACCTTAATTGACATATCTCTTAGAGGACATTTCAGTTTTATTTTTAAGGAATATTGAGACTTTTTTCTTGTTTTCTTTCGTCCTTAAAGATACTATGTCCCTTTTGCAGCCAACCTCAAATTCTGTAGAACTTTGCAGGAATTATGAATATGTCATGTATGTCCTATCTGTGAAATTTAAACGTTAGCAGTGTCCTGATATTCAAATTATGCAAGGAAACCAGTTTACTTGCTAGACTTCACTGTCAGACACTATTGAGTGACTGACTGGCTTTGTTTTCTTCTTTGGTAATAACATACATAAAATGAGCTGTAAAGGGTACATAAGCATTTGTCTACATCAATAACCCACTTCTTGTGATGGCCAAAATTAAACTGATTGAATCTTTGCGCAGCGTAAAACGCAAGACCATTCGGTACAATGGTCTGAAAATCAAGACTATTACTTATTGGCTCTATAGCTCCTTAGTCGATTTGACAACTAATAGTCGTTATTTTCCCACTTAAAGACATTTTCAAGCCCCACCTTTTCTAGGGAAGTTCTAAAGTAGAATTATCTTTCAAATGCCGTTGGAATTCACCTTTTTTGGCCTGCAAATGGGACATACTGTAGTACCTTTAAAAGAAATTTTCTTACATGTCTTTGAAATTATATTTCCTGTATGTCTATATGTAATGAATGGATAATACCTGGTTATTTTGGAAATTCTCAAGAAAGTATTGCATACTCCATCACCTTTATCAGTGGATGGCAACTTTGATGGAGTGTGTGAAACAGATACATATTATATTAATCCCCTGACAATTTAAATAATATGATCGTTAATATTCAAAATTCTAGAAATATTTCACTTTTTCATATGCACATTGCTCTGATTGTCTCATTTTCGTTCGCTGGATCACTGCAGCACAATTAACATAGCTCATTCGACGTCACTCCCAAACTAGCCAATCAGCTGTCAATGACGTCATATTGAATGCGGCGGCAAATATATTTTGTGAAATTATCGAGAAATTGCAAACTAGTTCTATTTTTGGATGGAAACGCAGCCATTGTTATCTTGACATTCATTGAAGTCATCAGAATAGCGTAAGTTATACGTCTCAGGTGATTCAAGAGGTCTATTTTGTAAATAAATTTTCAATTTCTTAGAATGTTCCACTGTGTTGCAGGGTACCGGGTGTATGCCATTGGGTGTGATGTGTTCGCGCGCAATGGCGCGAATTATACATTCTTCTTCTTCTTTGCTATAAGTACAGGCCATCCGCGCCGCCTGGTGTATTCTCGTACTGAAGTAGGTGCTGTGCAGGTGTCCATGTAGTGTCTCAATAAAAGGTCTACAATGAACTATGTGCAGTTAAAAAGACATCTGTAGCTTAACATTCCTTTCCTTCTCAATACAATAACTTTCACCTACCATACCGCCTCGCGGAATCATGGCGTCTCGCCACTTCCATTACGTAATCACTAAAAGGATCCGCATATACATTTTCCTGCTATACGTTGTACCGCAGGAAAATACCAATCTCCCTGGTATACCTTACAGTACGTCCAAACGATAAATGTGTGCCTTAAAGCTTATCTGCCGTAGTTTATAGGAGGGATTAGACTGCCCTGCAAGGTCACTGGACAGGTGGTTATCTCATCAACTCAGCTCTCAGTTAACATAAGAAAAAGAGGATCATGGGGGAGCAATGGTCACCGATTAGGCATTGTTTGTTATATAGAGGGTGCAAGTATATATAGCTGCGAGTAGTGCAGTGGGCCTTTAAACGAAGCAGGCGACAATCGGCGTAGCAGACGACACTTGATAGTAATTTTGTAGGTGAGATTGCTTTGCTAAATATAAATTACTTTGTTAATAAATATCAACTAACATTTCTTTTACATATCTTTAAACCATCATTGATATTCAATAATTCATGAGTGAGTAAAAGAAATATACCAAACTATATAATGATATGAAATACTTGGTGCCAATTAGGGGAGTTTGACGTGATGATCGATTGCACCCCTCTGTTAATGATCGAATAGTCCATGGTGTGTCATGAATATTCATGTTTTTGCTTACCTTGGGAAAATGTTTGCTTTGACTAAATGGAAAAATTACTGTGGGGGTGGGGGGGGGGGGGTAGATGAAATGGACATAATGAACCAAGCAGAAGTGATTTATGATAATTCATGCTTTTTATTCTTCGTGTGCTTGACCTATAATCTTACAATCGCTTGGCAGACTGAGTCCAAAGTTCGACTTGTTTCACATATGTATTATAGGCAATGGCGAGCTTGCAACATATTTTGAAAAATTACGGTGGGTGGACTTTCAAAAGTCAATGAGACATGAGGGCTCCAATGAAAGGGCTTGTGATAACGGACGTCGGGGTGGATGTGCTTTTCGTTTAAACAAAAAATGAATTTGTAACGATTTTTTTTGTTTGTAAACGTCCATAGGCTAACATGTTAGGCTGCTGACTCTGACGATAGGGGGCGTTGTGAAATGAGACTAAACGGAGCGATATGAATTGGAGAAGCAATAAGAACCATGGAGCTTTATTAGTGTAACTTCAGTAATTGAAAGTTGAATTTGATGTTATTGCTTTAAGTGAAACATCACTACAGATGACCTAAATTCCTTGGATTTCAGGGTAAGAGGACACTTTTTTCTTTTTTCTTTTGGTCCGTAGGGGGGGGGGGGGTAAAGTCACTTTTTTAGGTCAACCATTGGCATAACTTTTTTTTTTTTTAATTAAAAAAAAAAAAAAAAAAAAAAAACACAAAAGAGGGGGGGGGGGGTTTGCTAAAAAATACACTCATAGAAAAACCAAAGGGGGGATTTAACCCCCCAACCCCCCCCCCCTGAGTACGCGTCTGATTGGCAAGATGTCGTTATGAGTAAACTTAAAGACACCTTGCCAACCAATATTCCCATAATGTTATACAACTCACTAATCTTGCCCTACATATCCTGTAACATTATATTTGGTATTGGTAAACAACATTTACTTAATCGTACTAATATTTTCCTCCTACAAAAAAGAGCAGTTTGCATAATTTGCCACAAGCCAGAAAGCAGACCTCTATTCTTAAAACTGAATATTCTCCCAATATCATTATTACATGATTTTCAACTCTGTGATTTATGTATTCATATTATCATAACCTATACCACAAGTTTTTTGTAATATATTCCAGAGCAATAACGATATTAATAGATATAATACCAGGACTTCAGCAGACACTCTTGTAATATATTGCCATTCTTCGTTTTCAAATAGTATCTTTTTATGCCAAGGACCCACTATTTGGAACAAACTACCCCCTAAACTTAAACAGTGTGCATCTATACACAATTTAACCCTAGTAAGGCCGGAGGGGGGGGGGGATTCTGGCATGACAATGTACAACTACATGACCAAAGTTTGGTGGTAATCCATCCATTGCTTCTTGAGATAACTTGATCACGAGAACGGGACGTACGTACGGACCGGCAGACAACCAGAAAACATGATGCCTCCAGCTACTTTGTAGCGGAGGCAGAATAATGGAAACTGGATCTGATTTCACTATAACAAATTCCTGTACCACTTGAAATTACAATATAGTGGCAAATCGTTTCACAGTGCCACTTCTGTCAACTTTAGATTCCAGATTACGAGAATTTCAGTTCAAATTATTCCATCAAAGAATTTCTACAAATGAATATTTGCACCGTACTGGTATAACAAGTACACCAATATGCAAGTTTGGTCAAACAAATGTTCATTCATTTATTCTTTACGAGTCCTCACTATGAACATGACGGACAAAGAAAGCGGACAAAATATACAGTTCCTCAGGTACATAAAGGAACATCCCTTCGCTGCTATTATGTAAAAATGTGTAGAACAGGTGTCACATGCAGAAGGGATGTTCCTTTGTCTACCTGAGGAACTGTATATTTTGTCCGCTTTCTTTGTCTGTCATGTTCATAGTGCCTAGTGTTGTTAAAACATTCTGGAAAGATATGGGTAATTGGCTACATGAATTCAAATTATTTAGTTTTCCATTCTCACTCACAGATATATGTTTTAGAGTTGAGACTAGTAACAAAATAATTAACACTTTTGCTTTTGTTATGTATGGTCAACACTTTATTTTTCAAAAAAAATGCAAAGAAAATAACTTAAGATTTATACAGCTCAAGTTGGAAATGATTTATTTAGAAAAAGTGGAAAGGGTTATTGCCATAAACAAGGACAAATGCTGAACATACATTGAAATGGCAAAACAAGTATGTAAAATTGTTATCAATGTTATCTTCAATGTATTCTGTAAGCTATATTTCATAATGTACCACTCCTTATTATGTAAATGTCCTTCACAAACTGATTTTTATGTATTCAGATTTGAAGCAATAAACTTAGAATTATATATTTTTTTAAAATCACTTAAACAACAAAATTCTTTTATTATATTTACAACATTTATATGGCATTTCTACTCCGTGTGTTATCAGGCAATTAGCAAGATCATGACTGTATGAACAATAACAATCCCTTTTAGAACAAAGTGAACATTAAATGGCTTTTCTCCAGTATGTATTCTCAGATAACCAGTGAGATTAGTGTTAAAAGAAAATCTCTTAATACAATTGTAACATCTATAGGGTTTATGAGTGTTCTTATATGCCTTGTGAGCACTTGAAGTGTCTCTCTCCTGTATGGTCCTACGGTGGCTAGTAACATCCCTTTTATAAAAAAAAAATCTTATTACAATCACAACATTTATAAGGTTTTTCTCTAGTGTGTGTGTCCTATAAACATGACAGGTAAGATGGCCTCGTTCAGAAACACCTGTATCACAAAAGGAACAATTAAAGGGTTTCCCCCTGAATGTTATCTAAGCTAGCTAATAACATCCTTTTTATAAGAAAATCTGATATAACAATTGGGACATTTTTATGTTTTTTTTCTAGTACACAATGGAAACATCAATGAGGCTTTTCTCCACTGTGTGTTCTTAAATGTCTCGTAAGGTGACTTCTTTGAGAAAAACCCTTATCACACTGGGAACACTTGAAAGGCTTCTCTCCTGTATGTCTTCTAAGGTGGCTAGTAAGAATAGTCTTTTGAGCAAATATCTTATCACAATGGGAACATTGATAAGGCTTTTCTCCACTGTGTGTTCTTAAATGTTTAATAAGGGTACCTCTTTGAGCAAAACCTGTATCACACTGAGAACACTTAAATGGTTTCTCTCCTGTATGTGTTCTAAGGTGACGTGTAAGATTCTTCTTTTCAGAAAATCCTTTATCACAATTAGGACATCGAAAAGGCTTTTCTCCACTATGTGTTCTTAAATGTCTTGTAAGTAGACTTCTTTGAGAAAAACCCTTCTCACACTGGGAACACTTGAAAGGCTTCTCTCCTGTATGTCTTCTAAGGTGGCTAGTAAGAATAGTCTTTTGAGCAAATGTCTTATCACAATGGGAACATTGATCAGGCTTTTCTCCACTGTGTGTTCTTAAATGTCTAATAAGGGTACCTCTTTCAGCAAAATCTGTATCACACTGAGAACACTTAAATGGTTTCTCTCCTGTATGTGTTCTAAGGTGACGAGTAAGATTCTTCTTTTCAGAAAATCCTTTATCACAATTAGGACATTGGTAAGGCTTTTCTCCACTGTGTGTTCTTAAATGGGTAGTCAGATTACTTTGGCAAGTAAAAATCTTATCACACTGGAAACACTTGTTGGGTTTTTCTCCTGTATGTGTTCTAAGATGTCTAATGAGGGTACTTCTTTCCGAAAAACCCTCATCACACTGGGAACACTTGAAGGCTTTCTCTCCTGTTTGTCTTATAAGGTGGCTAGTAAGATGAGTCTTTTGAGCAAATGTCTTATCACAATGGGAACATTGATCAGGCTTTTCTCCACTGTGTGTTCTCAAATGTCTGATAAGGGAACTTCTTCGACCAAAATCTGTATCACACTGAGAACACTTAAATGGTTTCTCTCCTGTATGTGTTCTAAGGTGACGAGTAAGATGATTCTTTTCAGAAAATCCTTTATCACAATTGGGACATCGGTAAGGCTTTTCTCCACTGTGTGTTCTTAAATGGGTAGTCAGATTACTTTGGCAAGTAAAAACCTTATCACACTGGAAACACTTGTTCGGTTTCTCTCCTGTATGTGTTCTAAGATGTCTAATGAGGGTACTTCTTTCCGAAAAACCCTCATCACACTGGGAACACTTGAAGGCTTTCTCTCCTGTTTGTCTTATAAGGTTGCTAGTAAGATGAGTCTTTTGAGCAAATGTCTTATCACAATGGGAACATTGATCAGGCTTTTCTCCACTGTGTGTTCTTAAATGTCTAATACGGGAACTTCTTCGACCAAAATCTGTATCACACTGAGAACACTTAAATGGTTTCTCTCCTGTATGTGTTCTAAGGTGACGAGTAAGATGATTCTTTTCAGAAAATCCTTTATCACAATTGGGACATCGGTAAGGCTTTTCTCCACTGTGTGTTTTTAAATGGGTAGTCAGATTACTTTGGCAAGTAAAAACCTTATCACACTGGGAACACTTGTTGGGTTTTTCTCCTCTATGTGTTCTAAGGTGGCTAGTAAGCTCATTCTTTTGAGAAAATGTCTTACAACAATGGGAACATTGAAAAGGCTTTTCACCTGTATGCGTCCTTAGATGCTTTCCTAGATTACTTTGGCAAGGAAAATCCTTGTCACACTGGGAAAAGTTGAAAGGTTTCTCTTGAGTTTGTGTTCGAAGGTGGCTAGTAAGCTCATAGTCGACCTGGTGTGTTTTCTGATGTAGTATAAGAGTGTTCTCATCTGTAAATGTCTTACTGCAATGTAAACACAGATGGGACTTCTCTCCACTGCATGATGTTATATGTGGGTGTATATTGTCTTGTCCATTGTCCAACTCTGGGGAGGAAAAGAAAGAAATTACATCCCTATTGAAGAGAAGGTCAAGCTCTGATAAGTGTCAATATTAAAATAACTGTAGAGTAAAGAAATATCACCAGGCGTATCCATGCAGTCTGCTTAGATGCAGACTATCACGAAATGGTTAAATCCTTCAATGCAGTCAACTTCGCACACACCAATTTTGACAGGATACATTGAAATCTTGGATATGTGTGTAAGTCAAAGAAAATTTGACTATCAGGGGACCAAGCAAAATGCACCTAATTAGATGATCTTTGATTTCTATGTAAGTCAAAGTAAATTAGACCATATCTGGTCCCAAACAGAACTCAGGAACTTGAAGTAGTTCAGTTGATATTATAGTTTTTATCAAATGCCTCAGTTTAAACTGTTGTGCAGACATCCAGAAAATAAGAAAGTTATCTATTTTCATGTACACAGTACATGAATGCAGGCTCATGTTAAAACTTGGGACAATAAATAAGAACAAATTAAAAGAACAGAAACATACAGTGATTAATTCCAATATACCAAGTCTTTGCTTACAAAAGTGACATGTACACTTATTATGATTTATTTGTAACTTGTGTTGATTTTTGCTACTTCACCCGCTATGCTCACATACAAGTACTTTACAGGCTTTCTACAAGAATAAGGAGGACTGCGAAATATGTTCAATATAATGAATGAATGGATGCTGAATACGGAATAGTAACACTTATCAATCTTATAAAACATTAGCTACCATTCTTGTGCAAACTGTTGATAGATATTGTTGGATCTTCAAGATAATCTACCACGTTCCCATACTTGAACTTCAATGTAATAAGGAGAAAGAGAACTACGAAATCTGTTTAATATAATGAATTAATGGATGTTGAATACGGAATGGTTACACTTATGAATCTATAATATTTAGCCACCATTCTTATGCAAACTGTTGATATATAGATATTGTTGGATCTTCGAGATAATCTACTACGGTCCCATACTTGATGTAACCTTTAGTGAACTGCGTACATGGATTGATACTAATACCGATGTGATAATCGTGATTGCGGTGACGTAGTAATTAGTGTTGACGTACACTAGGGCTAGGCTAGCTAGTAGTACTACAATGCCTCCCAGCTCCCACACAGACAGCAATAGCATAAGCTATCAAGGAGCTCATAGTCAGAGAGGACTCCAAGGAGACAATCTCAAACAATGTTAGTAGCAAATTAGATGAAATCTCAAACAAGCTTGATGACATTTACCAGAAACTTGATCATCATGATCAATGCTTCATAACTATTGAAAGTCCCAGAAAGTCAGATATTAAAACTAGATGGAACTTCGACTGCACGCAGTCGAAAATGATGCCTCGACGTCATAGAGCAAATTTACAAACCAAAACAGAAGAAATTTTTCAAATTAAAATTTCATTGTAATCCATTAACAGGTTCTCAGAATATCGTGATTACAAGCAATTTCTCATATACATATGACCCTTTGATATTTGACCTCATGACCCTAAAATCTACTCAGTTCATTGGCTCTGCAAGATGTCCTGAGTTAAATAGTAATCCGACTGTTAGTTCTAATGAGAATGTGTTCACAAGCTCTTTTTGCATACATAATGAGCCCATGACATTTGACCTTTGACCTCATGACCCAAGAATCTACTCAGTTCATTGGCTCTGCAAGATACATACATGATCTAAGTTTGGCAGGAATCCATCAATCTGTTCTAATGATAATGCGATCACAAGCTATTTTTGCATACATAATGAGCCGCATGACCTTTGATCTTGACCTCATGACCCCAAAATATAATCAGTTCATCGGCTCTGCAAGTAACATACATGACCTAAGTTTGGCAGGAATCCATCAATCGGTTCTTGAGATAACGCGATCACGTACAAGCTGTTTTTGCATACATAATGAGCCCTGTGACCTTTGACCTCGTGACCCCAAAATCTAATCAGTTCATCGACTCTGCAAGATACATACATAACCAAAGTTTGGCAGGAATCCATCAATCGGTTCTTCAGATAACGCGATCACAAGAACGGGACGTACGGACATACGGACGGACGGACAACACGAAAACATAATGCCTCCGGCTACTTCGTAACGCAGGCATAATTACTGAAGATTATGATGAACTTGGAACAAAATGTCAGTACCTTCACACCTCATCAGAGAAGGCAAAATCAACCTTGAGGGATGTCGAGATAAAGTTGAATGAGAGGGAGACAACCATCAAACATCTTCTAAGTGAACTGATACGAGCCTTAACAAAATTGCAAACCTGAAACGCCAAGTTTATAAGAGCAGTGTTCTCAAAACAGCTGCAAAAGAATCTTCGGTCTCATAGAGAAGTGTGGAAAAAACACCAAATTGAATACTCTAGTATGTGAAGAAGGTTAGCTGATTCAAGTTGATCATCAGGAACAAGATATAGATCGTAGCCATCAGTACACCAAAAAACCAGCACCCCTAACAGGAAACTCATCAACTGCAAAGAAGATTTTGACAAAACTTGCATCAAAGCTTGATTTGTACTAAAACAATGAAATTAATTATCTTACTAGATTGATACAATCTAAGATTAATGTGCAGCCCACCATGACATATCTCTTAGAGGACATTTCACTTTTATTTTTAAGGAATATAAAGGTGAAATTCAAAGAAAATCACAAATATGTCAACTAGTGTATCACTAGAAACTGGTAAGCTAACAGATGGCCATCGTACAAGTTTTAGGTCAACTACATATCGGGTGATTTATAAAAATACGAATACAACCACCTCCATAGCAGCTGGGATATGCAAGAGATTCGCCAGAAAAATAACGATGTTTTAATGACGTCACAATATGGACCAATACTGCCCAAGCAGACGACATCCCATAAAGAATGAACATAATTGCAAAGCTATTATTTGTCAACTTATAATGAGTTGAGTGTATATAAATGTAATGGCAAGTCAAACCATTCAAAATGGGATATGACCCGATTCTGATAACTAAAATCTTTTGCTTGTGAATACACAGGATAGGGGTTAATTAACAATCAAAGTCTTGTTTTCCTTCTATCATTTTCTCTTACTGTTTTTAATTATGCTATTCTTCGTTTTTCCATTTTCTTCTTCTCTTCTATCTTTCCATTATCTATTCTTTATCGTTTTCTCTTTCTGTCTCCCTATGTTATTCTGTTTCTTCCTTCTATTCTTGAGATAACTTGATCACGAGAACGGGACGTACGTACGGACCGGCAGACAACCAGAAAACATGATGCCTCCAGCTACTTTGTAGCGGAGGCAGAATAATGGAAACTGGATCTGATTTCACTATAACAAATTCCTGTACCACTTGAAATTACAATATAGTGGCAAATCGTTTCACAGTGCCACTTCTGTCAACTTTAGATTCCAGATTACGAGAATTTCAGTTCAAATTATTCCATCAAAGAATTTCTACAAATGAATATTTGCACCGTACTGGTATAACAAGTACACCAATATGCAAGTTTGGTCAAACAAATGTTCATTCATTTATTCTTTACGAGTCCTCACTATGAACATGACGGACAAAGAAAGCGGACAAAATATACAGTTCCTCAGGTACATAAAGGAACATCCCTTCGCTGCTATTATGTAAAAATGTGTAGAACAGGTGTCACATGCACATTCACCTTTTTACATAATATCAGTGAAGGGATGTTCCTTTGTCTACCTGAGGAACTGTATATTTTGTCCGCTTTCTTTGTCTGTCATGTTCATAGTGCCTAGTGTTGTTAAAACATTCTGGAAAGATATGGGTAATTGGCTACATGAATTCAAATTATTTAGTTTTCCATTCTCACTCACAGATATATGTTTTAGAGTTGAGACTAGTAACAAAATAATTAACACTTTTGCTTTTGTTATGTATGGTCAACACTTTATTTTTCAAAAAAAATGCAAAGAAAATAACTTAAGATTTATACAGCTCAAGTTGGAAATGATTTATTTAGAAAAAGTGGAAAGGGTTATTGCCATAAACAAGGACAAATGCTGAACATACATTGAAATGGCAAAACAAGTATGTAAAATTGTTATCAATGTTATCTTCAATGTATTCTGTAAGCTATATTTCATAATGTACCACTCCTTATTATGTAAATGTCCTTCACAAACTGATTTTTATGTATTCAGATTTGAAGCAATAAACTTAGAATTATATATTTTTTTTAAAATCACTTAAACAACAAAATTCTTTTATTATATTTACAACATTTATATGGCATTTCTACTCCGTGTGTTATCAGGCAATTAGCAAGATCATGACTGTATGAACAATAACAATCCCTTTTAGAACAAAGTGAACATTAAATGGCTTTTCTCCAGTATGTATTCTCAGATAACCAGTGAGATTAGTGTTAAAAGAAAATCTCTTAATACAATTGTAACATCTATAGGGTTTATGAGTGTTCTTATATGCCTTGTGAGCACTTGAAGTGTCTCTCTCCTGTATGGTCCTACGGTGGCTAGTAACATCCCTTTTATAAAAAAAAAATCTTATTACAATCACAACATTTATAAGGTTTTTCTCTAGTGTGTGTGTCCTATAAACATGACAGGTAAGATGGCCTCGTTCAGAAACACCTGTATCACAAAAGGAACAATTAAAGGGTTTCCCCCTGAATGTTATCTAAGCTAGCTAATAACATCCTTTTTATAAGAAAATCTGATATAACAATTGGGACATTTTTATGTTTTTTTTCTAGTACACAATGGAAACATCAATGAGGCTTTTCTCCACTGTGTGTTCTTAAATGTCTCGTAAGGTGACTTCTTTGAGAAAAACCCTTATCACACTGGGAACACTTGAAAGGCTTCTCTCCTGTATGTCTTCTAAGGTGGCTAGTAAGAATAGTCTTTTGAGCAAATATCTTATCACAATGGGAACATTGATAAGGCTTTTCTCCACTGTGTGTTCTTAAATGTTTAATAAGGGTACCTCTTTGAGCAAAACCTGTATCACACTGAGAACACTTAAATGGTTTCTCTCCTGTATGTGTTCTAAGGTGACGTGTAAGATTCTTCTTTTCAGAAAATCCTTTATCACAATTAGGACATCGAAAAGGCTTTTCTCCACTATGTGTTCTTAAATGTCTTGTAAGTAGACTTCTTTGAGAAAAACCCTTCTCACACTGGGAACACTTGAAAGGCTTCTCTCCTGTATGTCTTCTAAGGTGGCTAGTAAGAATAGTCTTTTGAGCAAATGTCTTATCACAATGGGAACATTGATCAGGCTTTTCTCCACTGTGTGTTCTTAAATGTCTAATAAGGGTACCTCTTTCAGCAAAATCTGTATCACACTGAGAACACTTAAATGGTTTCTCTCCTGTATGTGTTCTAAGGTGACGAGTAAGATTCTTCTTTTCAGAAAATCCTTTATCACAATTAGGACATTGGTAAGGCTTTTCTCCACTGTGTGTTCTTAAATGGGTAGTCAGATTACTTTGGCAAGTAAAAATCTTATCACACTGGAAACACTTGTTGGGTTTTTCTCCTGTATGTGTTCTAAGATGTCTAATGAGGGTACTTCTTTCCGAAAAACCCTCATCACACTGGGAACACTTGAAGGCTTTCTCTCCTGTTTGTCTTATAAGGTGGCTAGTAAGATGAGTCTTTTGAGCAAATGTCTTATCACAATGGGAACATTGATCAGGCTTTTCTCCACTGTGTGTTCTCAAATGTCTGATAAGGGAACTTCTTCGACCAAAATCTGTATCACACTGAGAACACTTAAATGGTTTCTCTCCTGTATGTGTTCTAAGGTGACGAGTAAGATGATTCTTTTCAGAAAATCCTTTATCACAATTGGGACATCGGTAAGGCTTTTCTCCACTGTGTGTTCTTAAATGGGTAGTCAGATTACTTTGGCAAGTAAAAACCTTATCACATTGGAAACACTTGTTCGGTTTCTCTCCTGTATGTGTTCTAAGATGTCTAATGAGGGTACTTCTTTCCGAAAAACCCTCATCACACTGGGAACACTTGAAGGCTTTCTCTCCTGTTTGTCTTATAAGGTTGCTAGTAAGATGAGTCTTTTGAGCAAATGTCTTATCACAATGGGAACATTGATCAGGCTTTTCTCCACTGTGTGTTCTTAAATGTCTAATACGGGAACTTCTTCGACCAAAATCTGTATCACACTGAGAACACTTAAATGGTTTCTCTCCTGTATGTGTTCTAAGGTGACGAGTAAGATGATTCTTTTCAGAAAATCCTTTATCACAATTGGGACATCGGTAAGGCTTTTCTCCACTGTGTGTTTTTAAATGGGTAGTCAGATTACTTTGGCAAGTAAAAACCTTATCACACTGGGAACACTTGTTGGGTTTTTCTCCTCTATGTGTTCTAAGGTGGCTAGTAAGCTCATTCTTTTGAGAAAATGTCTTACAACAATGGGAACATTGAAAAGGCTTTTCACCTGTATGCGTCCTTAGATGCTTTCCTAGATTACTTTGGCAAGGAAAATCCTTGTCACACTGGGAAAAGTTGAAAGGTTTCTCTTGAGTTTGTGTTCGAAGGTGGCTAGTAAGCTCATAGTCGACCTGGTGTGTTTTCTGATGTAGTATAAGAGTGTTCTCATCTGTAAATGTCTTACTGCAATGTAAACACAGATGGGACTTCTCTCCACTGCATGATGTTATATGTGGGTGTATATTGTCTTGTCCATTGTCCAACTCTGGGGAGGAAAAGAAAGAAATTACATCCCTATTGAAGAGAAGGTCAAGCTCTGATAAGTGTCAATATTAAAATAACTGTAGAGTAAAGAAATATCACCAGGCGTATCCATGCAGTCTGCTTAGATGCAGACTATCACGAAATGGTTAAATCCTTCAATGCAGTCAACTTCGCACACACCAATTTTGACAGGATACATTGAAATCTTGGATATGTGTGTAAGTCAAAGAAAATTTGACTATCAGGGGACCAAGCAAAATGCACCTAATTAGATGATCTTTGATTTCTATGTAAGTCAAAGTAAATTAGACCATATCTGGTCCCAAACAGAACTCAGGAACTTGAAGTAGTTCAGTTGATATTATAGTTTTTATCAAATGCCTCAGTTTAAACTGTTGTGCAGACATCCAGAAAATAAGAAAGTTATCTATTTTCATGTACACAGTACATGAATGCAGGCTCATGTTAAAACTTGGGACAATAAATAAGAACAAATTAAAAGAACAGAAACATACAGTGATTAATTCCAATATACCAAGTCTTTGCTTACAAAAGTGACATGTACACTTATTATGATTTATTTGTAACTTGTGTTGATTTTTGCTACTTCACCCGCTATGCTCACATACAAGTACTTTACAGGCTTTCTACAAGAATAAGGAGGACTGCGAAATATGTTCAATATAATGAATGAATGGATGCTGAATACGGAATAGTAACACTTATCAATCTTATAAAACATTAGCTACCATTCTTGTGCAAACTGTTGATAGATATTGTTGGATCTTCAAGATAATCTACCACGTTCCCATACTTGAACTTCAATGTAATAAGGAGAAAGAGAACTACGAAATCTGTTTAATATAATGAATTAATGGATGTTGAATACGGAATGGTTACACTTATGAATCTATAATATTTAGCCACCATTCTTATGCAAACTGTTGATATATAGATATTGTTGGATCTTCGAGATAATCTACTACGGTCCCATACTTGATGTAACCTTTAGTGAACTGCGTACATGGATTGATACTAATACCGATGTGATAATCGTGATTGCGGTGACGTAGTAATTAGTGTTGACGTACACTAGGGCTAGGCTAGCTAGTAGTACTACAATGCCTCCCAGCTCCCACACAGACAGCAATAGCATAAGCTATCAAGGAGCTCATAGTCAGAGAGGACTCCAAGGAGACAATCTCAAACAATGTTAGTAGCAAATTAGATGAAATCTCAAACAAGCTTGATGACATTTACCAGAAACTTGATCATCATGATCAATGCTTCATAACTATTGAAAGTCCCAGAAAGTCAGATATTAAAACTAGATGGAACTTCGACTGCACGCAGTCGAAAATGATGCCTCGACGTCATAGAGCAAATTTACAAACCAAAACAGAAGAAATTTTTCAAATTAAAATTTCATTGTAATCCATTAACAGGTTCTCAGAATATCGTGATTACAAGCAATTTCTCATATACATATGACCCTTTGATATTTGACCTCATGACCCTAAAATCTACTCAGTTCATTGGCTCTGCAAGATGTCCTGAGTTAAATAGTAATCCGACTGTTAGTTCTAATGAGAATGTGTTCACAAGCTCTTTTTGCATACATAATGAGCCCATGACATTTGACCTTTGACCTCATGACCCAAGAATCTACTCAGTTCATTGGCTCTGCAAGATACATACATGATCTAAGTTTGGCAGGAATCCATCAATCTGTTCTAATGATAATGCGATCACAAGCTATTTTTGCATACATAATGAGCCGCATGACCTTTGATCTTGACCTCATGACCCCAAAATATAATCAGTTCATCGGCTCTGCAAGTAACATACATGACCTAAGTTTGGCAGGAATCCATCAATCGGTTCTTGAGATAACGCGATCACGTACAAGCTGTTTTTGCATACATAATGAGCCCTGTGACCTTTGACCTCGTGACCCCAAAATCTAATCAGTTCATCGACTCTGCAAGATACATACATAACCAAAGTTTGGCAGGAATCCATCAATCGGTTCTTCAGATAACGCGATCACAAGAACGGGACGTACGGACATACGGACGGACGGACAACACGAAAACATAATGCCTCCGGCTACTTCGTAACGCAGGCATAATTACTGAAGATTATGATGAACTTGGAACAAAATGTCAGTACCTTCACACCTCATCAGAGAAGGCAAAATCAACCTTGAGGGATGTCGAGATAAAGTTGAATGAGAGGGAGACAACCATCAAACATCTTCTAAGTGAACTGATACGAGCCTTAACAAAATTGCAAACCTGAAACGCCAAGTTTATAAGAGCAGTGTTCTCAAAACAGCTGCAAAAGAATCTTCGGTCTCATAGAGAAGTGTGGAAAAAACACCAAATTGAATACTCTAGTATGTGAAGAAGGTTAGCTGATTCAAGTTGATCATCAGGAACAAGATATAGATCGTAGCCATCAGTACACCAAAAAACCAGCACCCCTAACAGGAAACTCATCAACTGCAAAGAAGATTTTGACAAAACTTGCATCAAAGCTTGATTTGTACTAAAACAATGAAATTAATTATCTTACTAGATTGATACAATCTAAGATTAATGTGCAGCCCACCATGACATATCTCTTAGAGGACATTTCACTTTTATTTTTAAGGAATATAAAGGTGAAATTCAAAGAAAATCACAAATATGTCAACTAGTGTATCACTAGAAACTGGTAAGCTAACAGATGGCCATCGTACAAGTTTTAGGTCAACTACATATCGGGTGATTTATAAAAATACGAATACAACCACCTCCATAGCAGCTGGGATATGCAAGAGATTCGCCAGAAAAATAACGATGTTTTAATGACGTCACAATATGGACCAATACTGCCCAAGCAGACGACATCCCATAAAGAATGAACATAATTGCTAAGCTATTATTTGTCAACTTATAATGAGTTGAGTGTATATAAATGTAATGGCAAGTCAAACCATTCAAAATGGGATATGACCCGATTCTGATAACTAAAATCTTTTGCTTGTGAATACACAGGATAGGGGTTAATTAACAATCAAAGTCTTGTTTTCCTTCTATCATTTTCTCTTACTGTTTTTAATTATGCTATTCTTCGTTTTTCCATTTTCTTCTTCTCTTCTATCTTTCCATTATCTATTCTTTATCGTTTTCTCTTTCTGTCTCCCTATGTTATTCTGTTTCTTCCTTCTATTCTCATGTTATACAACACCTACGTGGATCCTTGTCATTTGATTGGACGATTGTTGGTCACATGATATTCAATAGATGGTATATTGCACGGTCGTGCATTTTTGGTTATATGCGCCGTGCATTTTTGGTTATATGCAGACTGCGTACCTCTCTGCTGCATGTGCGCGTATCCCTGCGTGTATCTGACGCGAAGGCAATCTGCATGTAATCGAGAAGGCTTGACTCGAACTTTAATTTATCTTTATAAGGAGTAGAGCATAATTTGTTGATTAACGTTCTATTAGGTCTTCTTCGATGTTGTATAAAACAAATAATGAATGTTTTTCATTCGTTTAATAGTGCAAATATTTTCATTCGTTGAAAGATTAACGTTAATTCTATTCAACTCGGCTGACGCCTCGTTGAATAGAATGTTAATCTTTCAACTCATGAACATATTCGCACTATTGAACTCATAACCATTCATTATTTGTATATTATTCTTTGTTTTTTCCTTCCATCGACCTTTTCTCATGTAATTCTTTGTTTTAAGCTTTCTATCACTTTCTCTTTCTGTCTTTCCTTATTTTATTCTTTGATTGGCTTCCTTCTAGTACCTTCTCTTGTGTTATACTTTGTTTTCATCATTCTATCACTTTCTCTTTCTGTCTTTCATTATGTTATCCTTTGTTTTAATCATTCTTCAACTTTCTCTTTCTTTCTTTCCTTGCATCTTTGTTTCTTCCTTCTATCACCTTTTCTTAATTCTGTCTTTCCTTATGTTATTCTTTGTTTCTTCCTTCTATCTCCTTCTCTTATGCTATTCTTTGTTTTAATCATTCTATCACTTTCTCTCTTTCCTTGTGTTATTCTTTGTTTCTTCCTTCTATCACCTTCTCTTTCTGTCTTTCCTTATGTTATTCTTTGGTTCTTCCTTGTATCACCTTCTCTTATGTTATTCTTTGTTTTTTTATTGCGATCTATGCTCAAAACAGCAGCCGACAGTCGGCCGTAAACAAGTTGACCTATATTTCCTGGGTCAAACTGTGCAGTGTGATGCGCAGTGGCTGAGCTTGAAATGCGCTAGAATCAGCTTTGATGAAAAATCGCTTGAATGCTCTCCCGCAGTAACCGCAGACCTGCCAACCTCTGGTGTTCAAAAACTGTATTTTTTAATCCCAAAAGTTGTATTTTACTGACAAAAGTTGTATTCTTTAAAAAAAACACGGACTGTTACGCGGATCAATGCCTCTTACAGTTCCTACATAAAGAAAGAATTTTGTTATGGATCATTGGTTAAATATGCATGATTTCGTCAGAACTGGTGTGTTTGAAGAACCAATGAACATCCCCTATGGGGAAATCGTATTTTCTTGAGGAAAATCGTACTGTCGTATTTGCTTCTAAAATCGTACAAAATACAACTAAATCGTACTGGTTGGCAGGTCTGTAAGTGTAACCGTGTTTTGTAACGGCGTTTTGATTTGTGTTTCATGTATGTGATTCTAGCTTCGAAAAATCGCTTGAATATGTAATGAATGGATAAGACCTGGTCATTTTCGAAATTCTGAAGAAAGTATTGCATACTCAATCACCTTTAACAGTGGATGACAATTTTGATGGAGTGTGTGAAACAGATACATATTATTTTCATTTTTATTTGATTTATTGGTTTCTGCATATTTTTTCTTTCTTTTTCATCATACATTTTCATGAACATAATATGGCTTGATACAATATTTCAAGTGTACATAATTTTATACAGATAATATACGAAATTAAACAAATATATTGAATGCATAATTAA